ACCGCCTGCAGACACGACCCTGGGTACAGGGCACCTCGACACGACATATTTCTACAAGGCGGTCGGTGTTCGCGAAGAAGTCCTCCGGGTCGACGCGTTCGTCCATTGTGCTCCGGGAGAGCTCTTCCCGTGCAACACGCCCGGCTTGTTTGGTGTTGTTGCCGTCGAACCGCTCCTTCAGGGCTTTCCATGCAGAAATTCCGTTCCCCATACCATCGCCCGTCTTGCCCATGAATGTCTTTTAACGTAATAATGTGGGCTGACCCGGCGGTCATGAAGAAGAGGACGGAAAAGAGCTGGTTGTTTATCTCTGGCCAAGCAGCAGCCACTGCAGCATTGGCAGCGCCTGTGGGACGACGTTGGCTGTCGAGTACGGCAAGCATTTTCGGCCTGTAGCGGCCGATGGGCATGCGCATCTTGGGCTCCCACTTGCGGTAGTTGGAGTACCCCTCGCATTTGCCAATTAGTTTCAACGTGCGGTCGAGTGCTGAGGAAGATAATTCAGCCATTGTCAGCCAGTGCTCCGCACAAGCTCAGAAGGGTGCACGAGAATGATGCCGCGAACGCCCCGAGTATCTAAGGACTCGACGCGCAGAAAAATGCCGTAAGTTGGTGTGCAAACCCGTATGTGTACGACCCCGTATTGAAAGTTGTAGATTGCAGCCCAGAAGCCAACAACCGTTGTCCGCCGGAACCTTTCAGTATCCGGTCAGACTGTATGCTGTGCTCTAGAAGGCACAGGCTCCAACGACCACAGATGGCTAGACTGCGGTTGTGTGGCGTCGAAGTTGCCAGCTCCGGCCACGTCGTGCAGGCACACTGGTCAGATGTACTGCTCCGACTAATATTCTGCTACGTGAGTGCAGTGTATATCCTCAATCTGCACACGTACCAGAAAATGTATGCGTGAAAGATATCTTGGACCAACCACGCCTGGGTCAGATCCTCAACCTAGTTACGTACTGAGGCTGCACTCTGCACGTGAAAGATATATTGAACAGACCTACCAATTTGGTTGTTGGTGACACACGCAGAACCTTGTGAAAGGCATTCTGCACACGACCAACCGTAACAAACTGTTTGCACAACTCTATTCGCCGACCGGAATCAACGCCTAGATATTATGCCCCCGAATGCTCTACACGAACAGTAGCGTATCGAATGTGCAGCAGCGAACGCCAGGTGATCAGTCTGGACCCAGTAAGCAAGCGGGTTGACTCAGCGCAGAACCTCCAGCAGAAGCTAACTCCAGCAGAAGGATCTCCCCGTAGAATCGTAGAAGACGATGTGTGTGTGCACGCCACATCACTCGACGACAGCAGCAGCAGAAGTCGCAGTCGCCGCAGGCCTACAGTCACTCACAGTCGAGGCTACAAAACCTGTTGTGGATATCGTCTGAGATACCCTTGACAAGTGGGCAAGGCTGTGCCTCTCGATGGTACTCGACATGATTGGCACCGCGAGCGGTTGAAATCACAAGTACTCCTTGTTGTGCTGTGTAGAGACGTGAAGATATGTTAAACACTGGCGCTTAGTTGGCCAACACACTGATAGATCCACAGAGAACGCAGAAGTCCGGATGACGGCAGTTCCTAGAGATGACTATTCAGAGAAGTCCATGCGAGAGATCCATGCGAGAGATCCATGCGAGAGATCCATGCTAGAGTGAGAGACACGCGATCCCTCGAGCAGAGATTGCTACAGCAGTAATTCCTCCGCATACAGGTGCGTTACGTATGAACCGAAACATACAGTATCTACGATGCATGATCTACGATAGAGAGCAATGCTACTGAACATCGACAAGTACAGGACATCATCCAATATTTCCGCACCGCTCGCCCCGGTGGTCTAGTTGCCCCGACACCTTCTAGAGGTTAGGTCGGGGGTTCGAATCCCGGCGTAAGCGAGCTTTTTTTCTTACAAAGTGAGTTTTTCTCTCGCTTCCGCTGCTGGCCTAGTGGATAGCGCTAAATAAATCGTGTGTACACCGAGGGAAGAGAGTGCTGAACTCTTGTCGCCTTAAAAATCGAAGGCAAAGTGCCGCAGGAGGGGAGGGTAGAGAGGGGTTCATCTGTGTGACCACGGGTTGGAGTAAACGGCACCAGTCAGCGCTGTGAGCGCTGATTTGAAGTGAACACAAAAAAATTGAATAAATAAAAAATAAACAAAAAAAAATAACAGACGGTAGACACTGAGCCTCCGCTCGCTACAGAGCAGGAGAGAAGATGAACTTCTTCAATTCAATCACCAGCTCCCGTCGAAAGCCCTCACGAGCACAAGAGCGAAGCGGCACGTCTCTCCCTCCAATCACAATCACCACAAGCAGTCGAAGGCCCTGGTGCGGCGGCTCTTCGGCCCGGCGAGGCGGCGGTCAACAACGCACTTCACGTCTGTCTGTAGTCTGGCCCTTGCGACCTGTCCGGATGCGTCAGCCGGTGGAAAGCGACGAGAGGGGTTGGACGGGGCACGGGGGCCAAGCACGCGCTTTTAGTCGAGCGTTGACATCGGGAAAGTATCGGCTGGCTTTGACCTTTTTACGTTTGTTTGTTGGGTGGCGAGCCTTTGAGAGTCGTGTGCGATTGAGCCAGGACAACCGTATTATATGTAGACGTTTGCATTGAGCCTGGACACTCCACACGAAAAATGTAGCTCAAGCAAAGGAACTAGCTGTTGTTGTTGGGCGTACTAGCGGGACCTCACCGCTGTTGTACGTTGTGGTTGGCGTATGTGACGCAAGAGGCTCGGGTAGAGAAACACAGAGTGATCATTATTTCACACATCGGCGTCCAAGCTGTCTTCACCTGACGGTTACAGACTTGGATACACGCCTTCACCATACTGCACCAAACCCTGCAGTAGAATAGAGTCAGTTCTTGCACACAATTCTCCCAACATGTCCTCTCAAGAACTACGTCATTCCAGCTCTGATACATGAGACACGAAATTCTCTCAATCTCAACGTCCTCTCGAAACAATACCAGTGTCCTCTCGACAAATGTGCTATCGACGTGAGTGAGTGCATGCTCTCAACCCAACTCCTAAATATGGTACTCATTGATTGCATCGAAATGTTCTTCTACTTTCCAACGTTTGTTATTGTACAATAATATTCCATGCACCATCCAACCCTTGAGACATAATGTCTGATTTCGGTGATTGGGGGGGGGG